ATCCAAACCAACAGCAGCATGAATCCAGCAGTCTGCCTTTTAATTCAATGTAATTTAGGACTCCACAAATCTCAAATGGAACCCTAATCTGTCAATGCTACTATGCTTCTCTAATCAATTCACTTTTCTAGAATCCTAGTTTAGTATTTCATATTTCATTCCTTTTCTCTGAGTTCCTGGGTGGTGCAAACAGTTAAGCACTCGACTACCAGCTGAAAGGTTGGCAGTTCAAACCCACACCCAGAGGTGCCTCAGAAGACGGGCCTGGTGATCTGCTTCTGAAAGGTCATAGCCCTTGGAGCAGCTCTACTCTGCACGTATGGGCTCATCATGAATTGGAGTTTTTCTACAAGTGGGAATCAGCTCAAAGGCAGCTAATAACAATATGGCAAGAAACAAAAGAATAAAAACAAATTAACTACACTATCATTCCTTCTCTCTCCTCAAATTTCTAATACCTTACTTCTTATTTTACCAGGGAAACAAGAAATCAGAAGAGAACTTGCTTATTTTCTCACTGCCGAATCTATAACCTATCCGTATGAATATGTGTATAAATACTAACACAAATGTGCATGTACCAAAAAAAACCTAACCCGTTGCTGTCAAGTGGATTCCAACTCATAGCGATCCTATAGGACAGAACAGAATTGCCCCACAGGGTTTCCAAGAAGTGGCTGGTGGATTCGAACTACTGACCTTTTGGTTAGCAGCCGAATGCTTTAGCACTGTGCCACCAGGGCTCCAAACACGTATATTCTGCTTTCCTTCCTATTAACAATGAATGAGGTATACTTCCTCTCTTATCTAAGGACAACCAAGCTACTTGTTCACTGGATTCCATCCCCATTTCCAAATTACAAGCTTTGTTTATGCTATTAACCCATCTTTCTTGGAACACATCTTCCTACTGTTCCAAATCTCTGTTTTCTAGTTTAGCAAACCTCTTTGAAAAAGTTGTTTATATTCTGTTTCTACTTCTCAATTCTAAGTGATTCATGGTCAGAATTCAGGAAATCTGTAAACTTGGATGTGTGTGTATGGGGTGGGGGGGAATGCCATTTTTATTTTCACTAACCTCTACGAAAGTTAGAACACCCTTCAACTAGAAATGAAGGCATCAACTTCCAAAAGTATTTCCTATCCACAACATTGTGTGTCAATTTATTTGAAAATATAGTTGCAAACATCTGAAATCTCCTAAGAATGCTTTAAAAAATATTTCCATCTTGATGGTATCAAAGTTGAACTGCAGTTTGACAATTCTTTTCTGACATAAACAGTTTCAAAGATTTGACTTGGCTAAAAATGAACTCATTGATCTTAAGGCAAAAAACTACCACCACCAAGAAAACAAAAATTTAATATAATGAGAGTTTAACTCAAAAACCCTTGGAGAATTCTTGTGTTCCCTGAGAAAAGCCTACTCTTGTCCTGTAAAGGTGTTTATAGAAACTAATTCCACTTGCAAAAAAATCATCTCTGTGAATTGGGATTTCTCCAACACTAACAACTACCAAAATGAAAAAATCAAAATCAAAACGACGTTTAACAAGACATGCATGTTGTCTGGTCAAAGACCACCACACAGCTTATATCCTTATTCCAGCTAAGCAACTAGAGCCTTCACATACGATGTTTTTTTTTAAAAAAAAACAAACAAACTTTAAAATGTTAGGAATCCCTACACTATGTGATCTTACGCTGTTCCAGAGCTTAAGTGCCATCTTTAAATGTCATTACTACAAAATTTTTATCTCTAGTCCTAACCACTTCCATTAGCACAAGAATTATAAATCTCATCTGTATATCTAAAGGGGACAAAACAGGACTCTTAGATTCTCCTCACTAACACCTCACTGAAATACAAGACCAAACAAATAGTATTGCTATTCACCTAGTTTTTCAGGACATGAACCTAACAGTTATACTTTATGCCTCACTTTTTCTCATATCTCATATCCAATCCACTGATATAATCTGTCAGCTAAAAAAATTTAGACTTCTTGTGATGAAAACAATCTCTAGGATGGAAAATACACTGGATAGAAACAATGACAGATTAGACATCACATAAGAAAAATCAAGGGATTTCTAACAAACATTTAAGGAAGAAATTATACTAATTCTATACAAATTCTTCTAGAAAACTGAAGAAGAGGGATTACTTCTCAAGTAATTAATTCAATGAGGTCAGCATTGATACCAAAATTAGACAAAAACATTGTAATACAAGAAAACTCAGACTAATCTCCCTTATAAACCAAAAATCACTAGCTGGATTTTAGTAAATCAAATCCAACGATGTATAGTAACAATAATACATCATGATCAAGTAGGTTTTATTGAAGGAAAGAAAGATTAGTTTAACATTACAAAATCAATGTAATCAACCATATTAACAGATTAAAAAATAAAAATTATAATTTGAACAGATACAGAAAAAGTATTTGACAAAATCCAACATCCATTTGTGATAAAAATTCTATGCAAACTAAGAATAGAAAGGAATGCCTCAACTTGATAAAGGGAAAAAACAAAAAACCTACAGGCATCATTCCTGTGAAAGACTGAATGGTGAAAAGACTGTATACCTGGTGAAAGACCAAATACTTCCGCCCTTAGATAACAAGTCAATAGCTTTGATTCAACACAATAATGAGGATTCTAACAATGCAATAAAATAAAAAAAGGAAATAAAAGGAATCCATATAGGAAAGGGAGAAGTAAAACTGTCTTGTCTAAACGGAAATTCTTATGGCATCTAAGAAAAACTACTACTAAAACTACTGAGTTTAGCAATGCTGCAGGATACAAGATCAATGTAAAAAATCAACTGTATTTATAAAACAGCAAAGAACAATGAGCAATTGAAATTTTAAAAACATACATTAACAATAATATCAAAAGATAAAAAATAATAATAAATCTGAAAAAAAAAGATGTGCAAAATCTGCACACTGAAAACTACAAAACACTGCTGAGAGAAATTGAAGAATACCTAAATAAATGGAAAAACACATCATGTTTATGGATCAGAAGACTCAATATTGCTATGAAGCCAATTCTGCCCAAACTGATCTCTATATTCAATGTAATCCCAATCAAAAATCTCAGGATTTTTGGTAGAAGTTTGTAAACTTGATTTAAAAAATTCGTATGCAAACGTAAAGGCCTAGAATAGCTAAAACAACTTTTAAAAATAGTGCAAAGTTGGGGGTTTTATATTACCTAAATTCAAGACTTTATTACAAATCTACAGTAATCAATAACATGTACTATGAGTGTCAAAAGAGATAAATAGAACAAAAGAACAGTTTAGAGTCCAGAAATAGACCCAAACATATATCGCAAATTGATTTTCAGTGGAATTCTCTGGGGAAAGGACATTCTTTTCAATGAATGGTGCTAGAACTGTGAGATATCCATATGCAAAAAAATGAACGGTGTTCCATACTTTGCACCATATCCAAATACAAATGTAACTAAATTTAAAACTTTAAACTATAAAACTTCCAGGAGAACCATAAGAGAAAGTCTTTGTGACCTTAGGTCAGGCAAAGATTTCTTATATATGACACAAGTACAATCCATGAAAGAAAAATATTAATGAACTGAACCGCCTCAAAACTAAGAACTTCAACTCCTGGAAAGACACTGAGGAGGATAAAAAAAGAAAAGACATAGGCTGGGAGAAAGTATTTTCAAATAACATTTCTTACAAAGAACCTGTATCTAAAATATACAAAGAACTCTCAAAACTCCATAATAATAATAAAAGCCAATAAAAAAAACTGGAAAAAGACAATGATCAGATAATTTACCAAAGAAATATGGATGGCAAATAAACACATGAAAAGATGCTCCATATCACTATTCATTACAGAAATATGAATTTAAACCACAATGATATACCATTACACATCTATTAGAATGTCTAAGATTGACCATATTAAGTGTTGGTCACCACTTAGAAGAGCTAAGTGTAAACTGTGTCTTCAAGACAAAGCCAAGTTTCAATAAGAGAAAAAAGGGGAAGAGAAAGTTCTAGAAATATAACTGACAGTGTAGCCTTACAATTTTATCTCCATAGCCCTTCACGTAGTTCAGTTTCTCTTGGAATGTAGGGTATATGTCCTGTGTTTCGTCTCCTCTGTTTATATTCTTCCTTGAGCCTAAAATTCCTCCCTTCTCCCCTTCCCATCCAACCTCCACCATATCCTAGCCATCTTTTACAGCCTATCTCATGTGCCTCCTCTTCTGAAAAGGCTTCCTATCTTTCTTACTTAAAGTCACTCAGCTGTGTCTCAGGTCACTAAACTATCATCAACTATCCCTCCTAGTTGCAGACACCCACCTCTAGCTCCCTGTCACTGTTAAAATTCTGTCATTTCAAAATCCACAGCTGAATCTTCCGCGGCCTTGATGTTCTTTCTTCCAATGACACCCGCCACCACCACCTTAACTACTTAGTTCAACGGTCAAGTCATACTAGAAAAGTATGGGGCTGTGTCTTCCAATCCCCACAAGGGTATTTAGAAATGCATGTGGGTACTTTCTTGTTGTCACTCCAAATTGAAAATAATGATGGCATTTGGTGGGTATCCTGTAATATGGTTCTGCACACCCAAAATGTCAATAGCACTACTAATGGAAAATACTGCTATAAAATAGACCCTATTCAGACACCAACAATTCTTCTGACTTATTGATCCTATTGCCTTTCCTCCATCATTCCCCTCCCTCACATTCCTTCCTACCCAGTTTAAATTCTGTGTCTTATCATAATCTCTCCCCCTATCCCTGTCTTGCTTAGTAATCCACATCTGACAAAATCCTAATTCTGGTTAATCAAATTCTCCACACCTGAACCATCACAACTCAAAGTAGCAGAGAAAAACATACAACTATGTTATTGGTCTCATTTTAAATTAAGTATTTCTAACCATTATGAATCAGAATCAACTTGATGGCATACAACAACACAACAACCTCAAGTAGAAGTCCTTGTGTGGCACAAATAGTTAACGCACTCACTGCTAACTGAAAGGTTGGTGGTTCAAGTCTACCCAGAGGCACCCTGGAAGAAAGCCTTGGCAATCTACTTCCAAAAATCAGCCACTAAAAACGCCATGGAGCTCAGTTCTACTCTGACACACATGGGGTCTCCATGAGTCAAATCAACTCTACTGCAACTGGTACTGGTAGAGGTACCGGTAACCCCGAGTAGGGCATTAGAACCACCTGCCAACATACTACATTTTCCTACACTTTCATACTTTCCTAGATCTTTACTTTTCAAAGTGTGATGTGTGAACTAGCACTATAAGCATGACCTGAGAGCTTATTAGAAATGCAGAATCTCAGATGCTACCCTAAACCTAAATCAGAGTAACAAGATTTCCAGGTTATTCATATGCACGTTAAACTTGTGAAGCATTGTTCTAGATAACTATTTCATACTCTCTCCCCAGAACAAGGGGATACTGCATGGTTTAAAGTCAGGAAAGGTGTGCATCAGGGTTACATCCTTTCACCATACTTATTCAATCTGTATGCTGAGCAAATAATCAGAGAAGCTGAACTATATGAAGAACAGAACTGGAGGAAGACTCATTAACAACTTGTGACACACAGATGACACAACCTTGCTTGCTGAAAGTGAAGAGGACTTGGAGGCACTTACTGATGAAGATAAAAAACTACAGACTTCAATACAGATTACACCTCAACATAAAGAAAAAACAAGAATTCTGACAACTGGTCCAATAAGCAACATCATGATAACAGAGAAAACACTGAAGCTGTCAAGGATTTCGTTTTACTTAGATCCAAAAACAACACCCATGGAAGCAGAACTCAAGAAATGAAATGATGTATTGCACTGGGCAAAAATTTGCTGCAAAGGACGTCTTCAAACTGTTAAAAAGCAAAGCTTTCACACTGAGGACTAAGGTACACCTGACCTAAGCCATTGTATTTTCAATCACCTCATATGCATGTGAAAGCTGGACAAAGAATAAGGAAGACCGAAGAAGAATTGATGTCTTTGAATTAAGGTTTGGGTGAAGAATACTGAATATACCATGGACTGCCAGAAGAATGAACAAATCTGTCTTGGAAGAAGTATAGCCAGAATGCTCCTCAGAAGCAAGGATGGTGAGACTTCATTTCACATACTTTGGACATGTTATCAGGAGGGACCAGTCCCTACTTGGTAGAAGATTACTGAAAAACAGGAAGATACTTAATGAGGTGGATTGACATAGTGGCTGCAACAATGGGCTCAAACATAGCAATGATTGTGAGGATGGCACAGGGTCAGGCAGTGTTTTGTTCTGTTGTACTATGAGTCTCGACAGCACCTAACAACAAAAACAACCCCTTCTTAAATCTCTAACACTTTCTCACCCCTCTTCATTCTCTAC